TCGTAACAGACACCCGTGTTCCCCCTTCGAGACAGCTGGCTGCGCCGGACCCGCAGGCGGTGCTGTGGCTGACGGAAACTGCTGGAAGGGGGTGCTGGCTCGCCTGCACGGGGTGCGTGTCTGTGAGCCGTGGCCACGAGGTGCACATGGTGAGGGGTCCCCCGGCACCTTCCCTGGTCCCCTCGCACAGGTGTGGGCCGTGCTCCTCCTGTCTGGACACGTTTCTGTGCTAAGATGCTGACAGAACACCGGAGGCTCATCCGCCTATAGAGAGAGCACGCACGACTAGAAACGGACACGGGGAGGACCGGGGCTCGGACGCTCATGCTCAGCACAGCAGTGAAGGGGCCGGCCGAGGCCGTCTTCGCAGAGTCCCTCAAGCCCGCCGCTGCTCACATCCCTGTACGCGCGGAGCTCCCCGTGTGCCCTCTCAGAACCGCTGGGGCGGTGGGCACGGAGCGGCGGAGGCAGCGAAGAGAAACGCCGTGCCGGTGCCCGAGTCCTGCCCAGGCCACATGCGAATGGCCACCCACCCGCATCGGGACGTCTAATTCCAGGGGCGCCTTGCCCCACCCGGGACGCCCGCCACCAGGTACTTGGGCCACCCTCCACCTCTCCTTCCCTCACCCCACATCCAGCCCCCTGCCCGAGTCCGTTAAATCTGCAAACCCCGTCCAGACCCTGAGAGTCTGGGCCCCCGTCGTCACCCTTTCCACGCCAGCGTCACCTCAGACCAGCAACGGCCTCCCGGTTCCGTTACTTCCCTCCCCTCGTGCCCGCCACCACAGTCGGCAGGCCGGGCAGACGGACCCTGGTAGGCGTTTCAGGTCATGTCATGCCAGTGGCTCCTTGGCCCACTAGAAGCAGACACTGAAGTCCCACCCCACGTGGGTTCCCCCCGGAACCAGATCCAGATTCAGATCTGAGGGCCGGTCATCTGGGGGAGCACGCGGAGCTGCGGGGAGAGGGCTGGGCTCGTAGAAGTGACCCGGCTGCACACAGCATGCGTGGGTCACCCCCGACGAAGCGCTTATCCATCCGCTATCGTGACTGTGCTCGCGCATCACCCTCACGTTACAGAAGCAGCAGCTGTGGCTCCCGGACCCGTGGCGGGAACGGAAGGTCAGCAATAATCGACCTGCTGAAATTTCAGCTCGCAGGGCACCCCGTCTGAGCTTCACAGGACCCACAAAGCCAGGGCCGTGCCCCATCTTCCTGGACTTTCCCACAGTCCCACAGCTTGCAGGTGACAACGGCACACACGAGCTGGGAACCCCACCTCAGCCCCCACCCCTGGACGGGACTCTGCTCCTCTGTGACCCTGTGTCCGCCCCACGCTGAGGGGTCTATACAACGGGACAGAGCACTAATTCCACGCGCTGGGCTCCACACGAGACCCCCGTGCCCGTGCAGACAGAGCCTGCCTGCTGATAAAATCAGGCGACTTTCCACACAAAGCGTGAAGACCAGTGACTAATTTGGCGACACTTACTTAGCACTCCGTGTCACACGTTGCCTGTGGGGCAGGTAGAAAGGCACACAGACCGTGATCCCACCCAGGAGGGGCCCCGCCTGGTATTTCCCACAGGCTGTCAGAGCAGAGGAGAGGCTCGCCTGGTGGGCGTGGCCCGAGCCCTTCCAGAAGCAGCAGGTGGCGAGGCGGGGGGCTCCCGGTCCCGTCCGTACCCAACAGGAGGCAGGGAGCCTGGGCCAGCCCGGCAAACGGCAGAAAGCAGATCAGAACGACCGGGGACCCCGGGGGCACAGAGAGTGACTGATGCCGTCAACAGCCAAAGGAGGCCAAACGCCTCCTGGAGTGAACCGGGTGGCACCCACTCGCCCCTCCACGAGGGAGAACCTGCTCCTCCCGCAAACGGTGTCGGTAATGCATTGGCTCCCTTTGTCCAGCAGGGCATATCGAGTAGTACGGTTTCTAGTATTTGGTCTAACCCCCGTCCCTAACCCCTCCCTGAGCACCGCTCACGTATTTCTACACGGGTAACCCTGCAAATTAGGACAGACGAAACCCCTTCGTAGCACTGACTCATTCACACCCAGGGTGAAGCCGTGAGGAGAACTGGCCTTCACAGCTTCTGATTACGGAAACACGGCTCCGCGAGTCTTCTCCAGCTGGGCCGATTAGCACGGCTCCGCCACGCTGACAGCACCGCCCTCCACTCCGGCAAACACTCGTCAAGATGCCAGAAGCAATCACCTGGCTGTTTAGAACGGAGCGATGGGGCCAGCGCCCTTCCCTTCCTCTCACCCGTCCGAACCTTCTGGAAGCCGCAGCCGTCAGGCACTTGCTCCCGGGGCCGCCAAACGGTGCTCACTGCTGACGTGCACGGCCCTTACCGCACCCCACCAGCCCCGAGGGCCACCCACCCCACAGGCAGCCCAGCGTTTCCGGGTCCCAGGGAGACTCTGCCACGGACGGCCGACCGCCAGCCACGCGGTCGGCGAGGGAATCGAACACGCCGCCGAGCAGAAGCCCGGCACCGGATGTCCGCGGCCTGCCACAGGGACAGCCCGCAAGGTGACACCCGGCAGGAGGTGACGGGAGCCCGGGGGTCATGAGGTGGGCGATGCCGCAGAGTGGGAGGCAAAGGTCACTTACCCACGTCTTCTCCGACACCAGAAATGCAAACATCGACTAGAAACGCACTACTTGAGAACAAGGGATGTGAAGGGCAACAGAGCATTTCTCTGCTTGATCAGACGACCCGGCCAGAGAGAACAGCGGTAACTAACTGCCACTCACCACAGCGTGCTCAGCCGTCGAGTCAGCGAGCTCTGCGCCTGGATCCGCCGTGCGCCAGCTACACACCAGCACCAGGGCTTCCAACGCGGAAGCACCTCCTCACGCGGGACCCGGGTCCTCTCCTCGCTCGCTCACACCGCGCGCTCCCGCGTCCTCTCCTCGCTCGCTCACACCGCGCGCTCCCGCATCCCGTCACCCACTCATTCGGGTTCATAAGTGGGGCAGAAAGTCCAGGAGAGGGTCCCCTCGTACCGGGAGCAGAATCTGGACTCAGAAAACCAGCTGCGCTCATCAGTCAGGACTCACAGCAAGGACGTTTGTCGTGGGAACTACGTGCCTGTTCCTTACGTTTCGTATCACTTTGTGCGAAATTAGCCAAATAAGTTCCCTTTCAGTCCCACCACCGGGGGTGCTTCCCCCCTCATAAGATGCCTGCAGCGTCGTGCCACTGAACCCCCGAGGGGAGCACACGCAAACAGTCACTGTGTCCGCAGGCAGCGATCCCCGCGGCAGGCTCTGGTGTGCAGGGTGCCGAGGGCCGCCAGCCCGCCTGACGCGGGTCCGCCCGACAGGGCCGATCAGTCGCTTGCAGCAAGGGCTCCCCATCACCTTCTAAAACAAGAGACTGCAAAAACTTCCTGTCCTTGTTAACACGTGAGGGAGTCTAGTGCTCAGAGAGCTCACTTCTCCTCGGGGATGGGACCTTGGTGCCAGTCGTGCCCTTGGTACATCCACTGCCAAACCACAGAGTCCTGATGGTCACCAAACTGGTTTTCTTAACCTTTTTCCCGTACAGCACCAGGTACGTGCGTAACATGATAAAATTATGTACAACACAAGAGAACTAATTCTTTGAAAGCGCGCGTGGAACCTCTTGCACGTGCACGACAAGAAACCCTCCGCTTGCACAGCCCCGGCAGTCCCGTAAGTCCGGCAGGCACACCGGGATCCCTGAGCGGATTCAAGAATTCAGAAAGTCACTGCCATGGCTCTCAAACGTACACCCGGTGTGCGATTCCCGCTGGCATCTGGCATTTCAGTACGGGACACGAACACATTTAAAATGACCAGCAAACTAGATTTTAAATAAGCAACCCCAGTTTCCCCAGAAAGCAATAAAAGAAATGAAAGGCCACCGCCAGGGAGTAGATGCCAGGACTGTAAACGCTGAAAAGACCTCCTTCCATTTCATACCATTCATTACCGTGCCCTGAAGTCCCAGCAAATCCGACTGGGAAAGCATTGCTTCCCAGCACTGGGATGAGCGGCCACCCGTGGGACGACCGTTAATGCTTCTGCGTAAAAAAACCACAGTCGCTGACCGGGTCCTAACTTCGTCTGACCATCTCTGCCGCGGAGACGCGAGGATGGATGCCGGAGGGAAGGAGGGGCCTGCGGCCACGAGGGCCACAGCCACTGACGCGGGATCCCCCCCCCCCCTTTCAGGGGGCAGGGCACTTGGAGCGAAAGCTGCCGGCTTGTTTGCCTGGGGCCGCATCAAGCCGCTCCGCTGGGAATGACACTTTACTGCCTGCCGAGACACCTCACAGGGGCCTCACAGCGACCCGGGACACGGAAGAGAAGCCCGGGGCGTTGGGCTCTCCACGCGGTCGAAATTGGCTGGGTCTCTGGAGCAGAGTACAACTTGGCAAGGAGCTCTCCCTTCACCAAAAATCACTGGCCACTGAAATCATTACTTCCGCAAAAAGGACTACTAAGGGCACCAGGACCTACGAGTAAAATCCGGCAGCCACCAAACCGGAGAAGACCGACCGCTGACCCCGTCAGACGGAGCCCTGCCGAGGCCCGTTCCGCAGCAAACGGCCAGCACACGCCGAGATGACTTGCTAGGTCTCAAGGCAGGTGAGCAGGAATCCCCAGGGCCCTAGAAGCAAAGCTTAGAACAGAGCTCTCTGTTTCTCTTCGAACCCTTCATCCCGCACTGTCTTGGTCCGGGACAGACAGAAGCACGGCCGGCGTGTGCTTCTCACCTGGGACGACGCGGAAAACCTCACAGCAAAATGGCACTTGCTCTGTCCACGCGGGGGCCGCCGCAGACACCAGGCCCTTGCTCCCCTGGGCGCCAGGCTCTTTGTCTCAGACCGACTGGTGTGGTCCTCATCCTGCACCCGCAGCCCAGCCCGCCGCGCAGCGGTGATGAGGCGCGGTGCCGGCCGACCCTGTCGTCCCCGGGCCGGGCGAGCGTGTGCCCGCGTGCGTCGTGTCGAGACGGCCTTACCTGCGGCCTGCGCGACATCTCCCGTCGTCAGGTTCTGGACACTGGCGCTCAGTCTGAAGGTCACCGCTGGGCCCACGACACTGCAAGAGACCAGAAGAAGGAGCTCAGGACGGCCCTGCGCGGCGTCTCGCTTCTCCGCCAGCCACGCGGGAGACACGGACGCGCCGCCGACACACACGCATCGAAGCCACTGCGGTGCCACGCGCGGCCCCCGCCAGGCTCCGGGTTTCTCGACGCCGTGCCTCCGTGCGCCCATATTCCAGGGATTCTGTCGACAGGCTTTGCTTTTCTAACCCATGCACGGCGGCGCTCTTATAAAAAATTCAAATCAACCACAACCAACCAACAAGAACAAGCAGATATTCTTGCGAGGGAAGAAGAAAAATTGTTATGGAAACAGGTTTTAGTATTTGGCTCCCACAGGAGTGGTAGGAATCAAGAGCAGAAACGAAAGAGACTGGTATTTTTAAATTTCTCTTGACAGGAACCGTTTAAAAAACTTATCAAAGTCATTAAGAACTATTTAGTATAAAAATAACTAGCAGGGAATTGCCAGACAGGAATGATTAAAATTTTCAAAGCTTTTTAAATACTGTGTTGAACATCAGTTTCAAAAATATATCTCATTTTAAATAATTTCATTCGTCTGGAGGGGAGAGGGAAGAAGAAGGGAGGACCGTAGGAAAGGGGAGGGGGAGAAGAGGAGGGAGGAGGGGGGAGGGGAGGGAGAGGGGAGGAGGGAGGAGGGGTTGGGTCCCTTTCACCAGAACCCGTGTCCGAGCTCCGCAGGCTCCTGGCCTCGGGTGTCCAGACCCCTCCCGGAAAACAGCATCCCCCCATCTCTTATCCGTCTGGTGAATGAGGGTGTGAGGTGCAGGGCCGGTCCCACAGAGAGGAAGGTGCCGTGCAGGCCGCAGGGAGGTGGGTGCTCCCCTCCCCGCCCCAGCACGGACGCCGCCGTGCCCGGCAGGGGCTCGCAGGGCCCCAGAGGCGTCAGGGTGCAGCTGGAGAGCTGTCCTTCCTGCTGATCACCAGAGGCTCCTGCCACCGTCCACAGATGGGCTCTCACGTTGCAGTGTCCTCCCTCGGTGCAGGGGCTGGACCACGGAACCTCCTCCGTGCGCGTGGATTCGACGACCAAAACAACACCTCGAAGAGCAAAACCACTCGTCTGCCATTGCTAGGTCTCTACTGTGTGTGCGGGACTTTGCACATCCAGTCCCGCCCCAGTGCCGGGGCGCCGGAAACTGCGGGTGCCAGGCCTTCAACAGCCCCTCCAGCTGGTAAGTCACATCTCTCCAGATGCTCCCTCAAGCTGCCAGTCCTACCTTCTCCGCCACCTTTGTCAGTGTCGCGACAGTCATTTTTAAAGGTGCTGAAAACGGGGACCCGAGGAGAACTACGGAGAGTCAGAATAAAAGAGTAACGAGGCCGTGCTCAACGAGAGCCACGCGAAGGTTATCAGGACACCCTCAAAACTGGCAGCGAACCGCCGTAAGAAAACCTGCCCCCGCTCGGCGTCTCATCTCTGGCCCCCCTGCCTTCCGTGCTCATCCGTCCAGAGGCGAGCGGCTGCTTCTGGGTCTCGCGTGGTCTCGACCAGGTCTGCTCTGAGCTCGTGCGTTCTCGTGGATTCAGACATGACCCCCACTCGGGACACCGCGGTCCCACTTCTGTCCTGCTCCTCACAGGAGTGCCTGGCTCACCTCTCGCGGGCAGCCCGCTGTGTCCGGCCCATAATGTAGCACAGGAGCCTCGGCACCCCCTCAAGCCCAAGGAGACCCTCGAATCCGCCCCAGCTTTGTGAAGCAGCCGTGGCCCAGCCCGTGGACTTTCTCTTCGATTTCTTCGTGCAAGAAATGTCTACACGGTCACAAAACTCTGCTGAAACTCCCCGAAAACGCCACCATGTCCGTCCTTCCTGCTTGGTTCCCACCGCCAGCGGTTAGAGCCCTGACCCCAGTCACGGGCTGCGTCCTGGCCTGACGTGCCCCCAGGGGGCCGTCCTTAGGAGCACGCGTCGCCCACCCTCCAGACGCGCTCTCTCCACACACACGGTCTAAGGCCCAGTCTAAGGCTCCCGGGCCTGTATCTGAAGCTGCCCGGCCAGATCCCAGCGACAGCCGTCTCCCCAGCACGGTGAGCTCGAGCCTCTTCCCCTGCTCAGAGTCCCTTCTGGCCTGAACACCCCCCCCCCATCCACACTCTGACCCACGGCAGACCCCTCTCCCAGATCCGCCGGCAGGTGCAGAGCCTCCTGGCACTGAGCACGTTAGCTGTCTCGTAGGACATTTGCAGCTTCCCAAACGGCTGGCTCTCTGGGGGCACGCGGAGCGTCCCTGCCAGGGCCTCACACACGTGGTGGATGTGACAGAGTCACAGCTGTGACCGAGTCATGACCGAGTGCAGCTGTCTTCTCCATTGAGAGGTCCTTATCCACATGAATAGGCCCCACCTGCCATCAAAAGGGCACTGATACCAGGTCTTCACACCGGGACCCGAGGGTTCTGTGTCGTTTCTATGACATTCCCCGTCTAATCTAAACGCCCAAGGATTCCTAGGCGGAAGAATCCCCTAGACCCAAATCCTCCCTCAGGTGCAGAGAACTCCCTCTGAAGACCCCCTGGGCTTTCCCGGTTCCTGGCTCACCCACGTGGTGGAGGAGAGTGCATTCACCTGCCCCCCATTCCCTGGGGGCCGGCGGGAGGGGCAGGGAGCTGCGGGCGGCCGCTTGGCCAGCAAGGGACGCGGCTGACACCTGGGAACGCGCCTGGAACTTGGGAAGCCCTCAGAACACTGGCTTCTCAGAACCCAGGTTGGCGATGCGGCACGGCCCCCGGGCCGCCCAGCCCCGGCCCCGCCACCGGGCCTGTCCTCTCTCTGGAGTCTCCCGAGAAGGAAGGAAACCCGAGTTTGCAGAGGACATTCAGGGAGGGTCAGCAGCCCAACCCGGTGCCACGACAGGGACTCAGACCTGCTCTTCCCCAATACCTGCCCCGACGTGTGGCAACGTGGAAGTCTCCACACCAAGCTCTCACCCACAAGTCTGCAACGTCCCCTCCGCTAGGCCTGCAACCTCCTCGGCCTCAGTTCGCCCAGCTGTAAAGTGGGGAGGCGGGCTCTGGCCCAGAGGCTCCGGCTTCCCCGGAGTGGCTGCCGTGGGCAGCCAGTGCCCGACGACCAGTGCTGCACAGCGTCCCGGATACGAGGAAGGGAAAGGAGGACGGGTGTGTAGGGGCTGAGCAGAGACCAGCCTCCTCCCCAGATGTTTCGCACACACGCCCACCGCACTCAGAGACCCTGCTGCTCCTTGGCCAAGCACCGCCGAGGGGCGCCGAGCCGTGCCGGGAGCACACGGACGCTCACTGAGCCTCCCACCAGGGGCTTCTGAAGTAAGAGGCACCGTGAGCACGAGAGCTGGACGCAGGGGCTGGGTTTTGCCGTGAACCCGCCATCGGAGAGCGTCAGATCCCCAAACCAAACGGGGACTTATCTGACAACTCTTTGCGACAACGCCCGAAGCGGCGACCGAACCCACCACGGCAGCAGCACAGGGATCACCACAAAACGCTGATTCTTTCGGGGGTCAACCTGTGATTCATTTCCTTCCCCTCTTCTACTACGTGATCCCTGGGATGTAATATTAACCGGTTGGTTGCCTTGACTTGCAATAAACTGGTGCTTCTGAGCCCAGGGCTGTTTGCAAACAGTGGGTGGACACAAACGGCTTCATCCGAGAGCCCTGAGGGCTTTCTCCCTCCCAGACCCCAGGGGCATGCAATCTGAAGGCCCAGGGGAAGCAGAGGCTGACAAGAAAAAGAGGGATTGCTGTGTTGGGAAAGAATTTAAAATATTAGCTAGAGGGATACACTCGATGCGGCATCAGGAAATGGCCAGAGAGCTCCCCGCCGCCCGCCCCGCCCTGCTGGGTCTCCTCCAGTCTCGGGAAGCAGTATGTGCGGGAGGCGCCCCACTGGGAGGGTGTGCCTGGACCCTGCCCTATGGTCTGCCAGGGCTCCGGGGGCCCTCAGGAAGGGGCTGTGGTCACCAGCCGGGACTTCTGTTCCCATGTGGACAGCTGGAGATTGAGGCCAGCAAGACTGTCCTGAGGCATTCTCCTAATCTCACGTATCAGCTCCTCAGTCCTAACTCAGGGGCAGTCTTTCTCCCAGGCCTGGAGCAGTGAAGGTTCACCCCGAAGGCCCGACACAGCCGCCCTCAGAAACTGCCTGTAAGGCTGGCCCCGGGTTGCAGCGGGGAACGTGGCCAGCAGCAGGATTCCCAACATCCACACTCGATCGGCAGGATCTCCCTGCGCCCAAACAGTTCAGGATAAGTAGGGTGCGAGCAGGTTATGGGGTGGGAGTGAGGTGCCAGGAGCTGCTACTGTCTTCTAGGACCCTGTGGCCTGGGCCGTCCTTACCGCCTTCTTCAGCTCTGCTTCTTCAAATACTTGGGGAAAACAGCCCCATATGCACAATGCTGGCACAGAAGGGGGAATTTCTGTGTTTAATCAGAAAATAAAAAATAAAAGAGATGCCTAGAGCCTCGCAAAACAAGCCTTTTTTTTTTCTTTTTTTAGGAAGTCACTTATTAATAAATAGTGAGAGTTTCTCACACAGAACAAAATATTCCGACTCTATTGATACAAAAAAATTGGTGTTTAGATCAGGAAGAAATCATTGAAACAGATGCAAAGAAAGACGAACATGAAGTTATAAGGGAAGACCTATGTTTTACTGCAAAACAGAGAAACTAATTCTGTTCTTTGACTTTCAGACTCTCATTCAGATTCAACCAGTAATCGTTGGAAACACACTACGGTACATTCCTGCTATCTGCGGAGTTATGTCTTATACGGTCAACACAAGTGCGGATTTAAGGAACACCAAACCAGGGCTCCTGGGGAAGCAGGGGGCTGGGCTCTGCCCAGACCCTGGTCCCATTTTCCCAGCCAGTCAGTGTACGTGACACCTTGTTTCATGTGTGCTTCCGTTTAAAGACACCTCATTGATAGACTTATTGCTTCTTTAACATTGAATTCACCGCCTACCATGCCGTAATTTATGCCTGAACTGAG